TACTTACCCTGCTGGCACAGTCAAAGCCGGTTCCAAGCTTGTGAAGAAGCCTTATCAAAATAGGATCATCATTACACTTGACAGCTGAAAAGATAATTAAAAAAACATACAAGAACGAAATGAATTCATTACAACATGYACATCACTACTATTATTTCCTACTRCAACAGAAACGAGAAAAGCGTCTGCGCATGCTCTGAATCCGTATGCAAATTAGTATGCAAAACATATGTAAATTTGACTTTCAAACATGCCTGATAAATTGGACTTCACAAAATGCCAAAACTTAAWGTCCATGCTTGAAACAGTAARGCTAGTTCTTTCATATTGTGTCTGTTAATACAATATCTTGGTCTGACAAAAATAAACTCGCGAAATTTTTTGTATAMTTGGAGAAAACAAWYATTTATTTTCTYACTAAAACTCTTCAAAATTCTTAGAAAACGTACTGAAATGCACGCATGCRCAAATGCTTTTCTCTAGTGTTACTGCAACACTCATCAAATCAAGAAATATTTCACCATTCAAATTTTCATTTAGAATCATTTGTAAATTTACTATGAGCACTTTAAGATATTACCGTAGAATGGTTTGATGTCTGGTAGGTGATCATGCCACTGAAAAAAACAGAAGAAAAATAACATATAAGGCGTGTTCAAGGACACAGGCAGCCCATCTAACTGTCCTTTGGAGAGCTCAGCTTGGGCAAGGGAGAGGAGAGCCAGAGGAGAGGGGAGGAGAGGGGAGGAGAGGGGAGGAGAGGAGAGGAAAGGGCGAGAAGAAGAGAGGATGTTTTACCTCATGATATTTGGCAATCATTTTATCCATGTTCGAGACAAAGAAACCGTCGTCTTCATTCTAAAATCAAAAACAAACCACAGGTTTAATTGAACCAATAAAGTCACTTCCACACTTAGTAARGTTAAATTMCGAATCGTGCTGGAGTTTGTTATGTGRTTACCGTGACAACACCATTATATAGTTCGATGCTCGTGCAGAGYTCTGGAGTATCTTAGTCAGTACTATATAGGTAATCCTATTAAGGTTATTGTTCGGAACCAAAACTAGACCCCTTTGTCTCGGGTTCAGTGATAAATGTCCCAGTTTATAGGGGAAAAGGTAAAAAAAAAGAAGAAAAAAAACACACACACACATCATAAAACATATCGGACAAATAAGAAACACTCATATTTCATAAATCATATGAACAAAGATTATTTTGACATCCTTTTATTTTGAAAACATTACCCGCAGAAATTGTATTTCGTGAAGCTGGAAATCACTCGATAAATAAGCCAGTTCATAGTTTAAGAATCGCTTTTAGAGCGCATGCGATTTTATCCCGAATTTCTCATCTTCTTTTGTTTAATTAAGAAGGAAAGAAGGTTTAAACTGGAAAAGAAG